CAAACTAAAGTTGGAGAATCAGAAAATGAAAAATTCAAAAAAAAATTCCATTTATAAAGGGGCATAACTCTAGACGGTAAAAGTGACGCCATCCAAATTCCAACTTGATCTGTGTTTTGTGGTAATAAGCATTGTATATAAGTTTGATAACATTTGGTTAGCACACTAAAGTTAGAGGACGGAAACTAATTTTGGGATGTACATACTATGTACGTACGTACGTACAGATGGATGTACGTACTGACAAGGGTAATACTTAATGCCCCCTCTGCTGCAGCGGAGGCATAAATTTTGATTGAAAATTAAATGTCACTTTCTATAAGCAAAAATGTTGAAAAAGATTTTACGTAGAATATATTTTTTCTGGTCTTTTTTTTTGTATGTTCCCGCCCACTTTATGACTCGCTGGAAGTCGTTTAATGGGATTCCCCAGACACATGTTTACATTTTGCAAGTTGCTATGTTTTTGATTTTTGTCCATAATGGGTCAGAAAAGAATTGTATGGACTCGACTGCATATCTCCACCTTGTTCATTAAATTTCTGATATTCCAAACTGTTGCAATATTCTACGACTCCAAAGCAGGAGTGAACACCAATGATGACTTCGTTATTATCAACATAAAGTTTTTCTTATTGAAAGTCATTTTTTTTGCAAACTGTATCGTACAACTGAATACTGTGAAAGTACTTTTACTCGTGGGTATCAATTTTCGTGGTTTGAGCAAAAATAACATGTTCGTGGGTTCTTAGATTTTAGTTTTCTGAAGAAAAAAAAACGAGTGAAGAACTTGAAGGTATCAGAAACGAAGATTCTTGAAAATAATAATATCTTGTTTTATAATGATTTATGGGACATTGCAAATTTAAGGTGTTCGTTTTCACTTGCACGTTCATCTTTCATTACTGACAACATTCATCAAATTCTGAATAAAATAATTGCTTTTGGAAAAAGCTAATTCATCTATGCTTACTAATTGTTTCAATTGAAGGAAACTGCAAAGTAAACATTTTAATTGTTTCACACGTGTTATCAGGAGTGATGACTCTAATTAACCTGAGATCAAATGATCAACAGATTAGCAATAACCAAAGGTATTAATTGGGCCATAAACATGTCACTTAAAGAAAACAGTTACATAAAAAAATGCTACAAATGTACTATGAATTGTAGAATTAATTTTTATGAAATAAAAAAGCAAGCCCAATATGAAATTTTTTTTATATGAGATATATAAGTAGATAAAATGAACACTTCATCATCGCATATCATCACCAGAAGTCTGACTTTCATTAATCAAAACTATTTAATTTTTCATGAGAATTAAAAGGTTAGAAGTCGTACAGTTTATGTTTTTTAAAGATTAAATGGGTAAAATCCTGTCTGAAGTTGTATATATAGTTCATAGTGCGTTTGCTGATATTCAATGTATTCTCTAGATTTTCCATGTCTTGATTAGGCCAACAGTTGTCATATTTCGTTGGACACTTAAATTTGTGGATAAAGCCATCCACGAAAACCACGAATAAATTGATACCCCATGAATAAAAGTACTTTCACAGTATTAGGTATTTTATAGCCAGTTGGTATCAATAACCAACAATAAATGTTGTTAACCTAACAATGTCAGTGTTCTGAAACTAGGTTGTCAACAAGAACTTCGAAAAAATGGTGACGGCTATTTAATATAAAAAAAAATCGGCACAATTAAAGTATTAATGCATTGCAAAAACAAATATTTCATCAATGAAATTTGAGTCAGATATTTTCAGGAATATCCTATTTATATTTGATACAAATTTTATTAAGTCTGATACAGTCTTTTCATAGGCAAAGCCTTTCAACTGAGGTACTACACAGAGGCGTCAAAAGGCATCATTACTGAGTAAAGGGGGGTGGCGTCAAAAGGCTCCATTATGGAGGAAAGGGTTAACCATTTGTGCTGATTTGGAGAGCAGAGGACCATAGAAACTAGAGGCTCTAAAGAGCCTGTGTTGCTCACCTAGGTCTATGTGCATCTTCAACAATGGATACTGGCTTCTATTTATCTAATATAGTTTTTCAGATAGTAGGCAACAATGTAATAAACAGCTGCGCCATGAGCGCATGATACGCCCGTCGTCTTGTGTGTGAATTTTTATGCAATAAGCATAAATAGTTTCTGACATACGGCGTGACATGCAAAAACCCCCCTTTTTAAAAAAAAAAAAACTCAATATCTCTAAAATAAAATTTTGAATCAAAACCAAAAAGTATATCGATCTTTAGATTACTATAACTAAGAAGTGTGTAAAATTTTAAGCAATAATCATAAATTGTTTTTTGAGATACGGCGCGACATGTGAAAACCCCACTTTAAAAAAAAAAAAAATCAATATCTCAAAAATAAAATTTTGAATCAAAACCAATAAGTATACAGATCTTTAGATTAATATAACTAGGAAGTGTGAAAAATTTTAAGCAATAATCATAAATCGTTTTTGAGATACGGCGCGACATGTGAAAACCCCACTTTAAAAAAAAAAAAATCAATATCTCAAAAATAAAATTTTGAATCAAAACCAAAAAGTATACAGATCTTTAGATTAATATAACTAGGAAGTGTGTAAAATTTTAAGCAATAATCATAAATCGTTTTTGAGATACGGCGCGACATGTGAAAAAACCCTCCCCTTTTTTTTACAAAATACTGAATAACTCAAAAATAAAATTTTGAATCATCACCAAAAAGTATACAGATCTTAAGGTTAATATAACTAAGAAGTGTGTAAAGTTTTAAGCAATAATTATAAACTGTTTTTGAGATATGGTGCGTCATGTGAAAAACCCCTCCCCCTTTTTTAACAAAATACTCAATATCTCTAAAATAAAATTTTGAATCATCACCAAAAAGTATACAGATCTTAAGATTAATATAACTAAGAAGTGTGTAAAGTTTTAAGCAATAATCATAAATTATTTTTGAGATACGGCGCGACATGTGAAAAAAAAACACACACCTGTTTTAGTTACTAAGTCCCGTAACTCAAAAAGTTTTAATCTTATTTTCACCAAAAAGTATACAGATCGTTTGACCATCATAAGAAACAACTATATTAAGTTTCATGAAATTTGGATAAGTCATTCTCAAGTTACAGTGCGACATGTTTACGCCGGACAGACAGACGGACGCCGGACATTTGTATACCATAATATGTCCCGTCAAAAATATGACGGGCGTATAAAAATCGTCATTAAAGGGCAATAACTCCAATAAGGGGTCATCAAACGATTTCAACCATGTTGACTTCTTTGTAGAACTTATCTTATATAAAGTTTCTCTCTATTATAATTTTCAAGATAAAAGGCAAAAAGTTTGTAAAATTCGTCATTTAAGGGCAATAACTCCTGTAAAAAGTCGTCTGACAGTTTGGAAGTAAATGGACAATTGGTAGATCTCATCATTCCAAGCATTTTTGCCTTGTCAGATTTCCTCTATTTATAGTTGTTTTCAAGATAAGTGACAAAACTTGAATTTTACCCCTATGTTCTATTTTTAGCCCTGTCTGCCATCTTAGTTGGCTGGCAGGGTCATCGGACACATTTTAAATTAGATACCCTAATGATCCTTGTGGCCAAGTTTGGTTAAATTTGGATCAGTAGTTTCAGAGAAGATTTTTGTAAAAGATAACGACAACGACGACGGACGCAAAGTGATGTGATGACTAAAAAGGTGTAAAAACTATTGAGTAATGAAATGTTTGCAAAGAACTAAATTTTCAAAGAACTTATTGTGTGAAAAAAGGGATTTTTTACCTGGAGAAGCTGCATTACAAAAGGCTTTTCTGGGTGTGCTAAATTACAGAAAAATGAATCTCACTATGTACCCCAAAGATTTAATTACATATGTGAAAATTTCTCAGCTTAGATTAACGAGCCATCATACATATCCAAGTTTACGATATGGACAGAGGAATTGAGGAAAAGGCTACCATTACTGCCTTCCTGAAATGAATTGCCCATCTTTACCCATTTATAAAAGCAGAATATAGAAATGATATTTTGTTTGGTTAAATTTCCACAATAAAAGCTAAAAACATTATTGGCTTGCAAGTCAATTATTTAACCTCATTTGAATCCATATTCATGCAACCTTTTATTTGACCTTTAGAGGAGATGGGTTGCACATGTATTCAGCATGTGGTCAGCATGTTCACCTCTTAAAAAGAAAAGAATGTCAACATTGAAAAGTGGATCAAGGGATACACCAGGAATAACAATTTCGTTGACTGATCCAGCCCAACAAAAAATCTTGATGCAGGTAAAATTTAGGTTTGGGTTTGAAGATTTACTTATATTTTTAATCTTTAATATGAAATCAAACAGACCAAGAAAAATCGTCATGATATGATTGCACATGCTTGTTTGTCACTCTATATTTATGTTTATGTTCATAACTGGTTATATGACTGCCAGCAGTCTTCAGAGGTCCTCTCGATGGATAAAAACTAGTCTACATACCTTCATTTTGTTGAAGTTTTCATAGATGAACATGACACTTTAAAGACCCCAGAATCACAATGCGGAGACAAATAATGTACTTCAGAACCATTTTTTTTATTATTAAGTTGATTTTCCTCTCCCAGCAGTATTTTTTACCTTATTTCTGTCTGCCACATTTGCAGACGAGGATTATTTTTTAATCAGAACATTTCTCTTTTTAAAACATTGCGTCAGTGATTTTGTTAATAAGTAAACTCTTGTGCAAACAAGACAAATATTTCAATATACCGTGTATTTAAAAAAAAATTATAAATGTTACTTAGTTATGATATATTCAATCATAATTTTTTTTACCAATGATATATTTCAATCATAGTAATTAGAAGTTAATTTTTGCTCTAAATCCTGGTCAAATAAGTTTGTTTGTTTGGCTAATGAGGCTCTTTAAACTATATATAGCTATGACCAATATTTATGAATATACCGAGTTATCTTCAGGTTGCTTAAAAGTCATTTACCTGTTCATTCTGTATTGTAGGTTTAATTCACATGTACCTCCCACTCCATCTAACTTGTCAAATAAACTCAAATCTATACCTAGACCCCTACAGTGAAAGAGAAAATAGCATAAACTTTTGAATATATAATTTCTACTACCAATAAATTATGTTTTTCTTTCTAAAATCTCAAATCCCTGTATTTGTGTATATAAAAAGAATGAAATTTTACTTAGGTAATTTACTTTGCTAAAAAAATATAGCATCTTACCTTCTATTGTTGCTTGTTGCATGTCTCTTTGGGGTTTAACACCCTGTAACCTTAAATGTTTTCAATAAAACAGATTTCCATAGAAAATTCTCCTGAACAATAGATAAAATGAACAAAAGGCTCATTATAAAATTAAAGAGCCTGTATCCTCACCTGGCAACAAAATGCCATTTTGATATTGATTTTCACCTTCATTGCAGTCAGTTATATTTGCTTATTTGTCGGTCTTATCTAGCTGACCAATTTATCTGTTTTTACTTTATCTATAATAGTTTTCAAGAAAGTATTAAAAACAAGAAATGATTGTAACAGGATGCTGTTACGAAGTCTCCCAAACGAAGCTCCCATAATTCGTAATTTCCAGGGTCGCCTGACATTGGGCAAAGTCCAGTGAAAATTGGTTTGGTCCAGTAAAGTTATATGCATTAGTGAAGCCTGGGGACTAACCCTGTATATCATTCAAATCATCTTGGCATGACAAACCAGAATATATATGGTTTAGGGGTGGGGATCTCCACCATTTACAAGATACTAGAACATTGAAGGTGGGGGGAACCCCTGGGGACTGACCCTATAGGTCATTCAAATGTTTGAGACATGACGAACAGAAATATATATGGTTTAGGGGTGGGGATCTCGACCATTTACAAGATATTAGTACATAGGGGGTGGGGGGAACCCCTGGGGACTGACAGTATACGTCATTCAAATGTTCGAGACATGACGAACAGGAATATATATGGTTTAGGAGTGGGGATCTCGACCATTTACAAGATATTAGAACTTTCTCAAATGGCAGGGGGTCAGGATGTCCCCTGGGGACTAACCCTATATATCATTCAAACCATCTTCGCATAACAAACAAGAATATATATGGTTTAGGGGTGGGGATCTTGACCACTTACAAGATATTAGAACTTTCTTAAATGGCAGGGGGTGGGGTGACCCCTGGGGACTAACCCTGTATTTCATTTGATGTGCTTTATCATGACAAACCAGAATATATATGGTTTAGGGGTGGGAATGTCGACCATTTACAAGATATTAGAACTTTCTCAAATGGCAGGGGGTCGGGATGATTCCTGGGGACTAACCCTGTATATCATTCAAACCATCTTAGCATGACAAACCAGAATATATATGGTTTAAGGGTGGGGATCTTGACCACTTACAAGATATTAGAACTTTCTTAAATGGCATGGGGTGGGGGTGACCCCTGGGGACTAACCCTGTATTTCATTTCATGTGCTTTATCATGACAAACCAAAAGATATATGGTTTAGGGGTGGGGATCTCGACCATTTACAAGATATTAGAACTTTCTCAAATGGCAGGGGGTCGGGATGACCCCTGGGGACTAATCCTGTATATCATTCAAACCATCTTAGCATGACAAACCAGAATATATATGGTTTAGGGGTGGGGATCTTGACCACTTACAAGGTATTAGAACTTTCTTAAATGGCAGGGGTGGGGGGGGTGACCCCTGAGGACTAACCCTGTATTTCATTTAATGGGCTTTATCATTTAGAATATTTTCAATTAAAAAGATTGTGTCTATCACAAACGGTTTTCAATTTATAATCATTTGAAAATTTAATAAAATCCCGTAGGGTTCTATAGTAAAACCCTCTTTTCTTTTTGCCCCTCAAAGTACCCCTTTATAAACCCCATTGCACAAACAAAACCCTGATTGCACCACTAGACATGTTAGTCTAACATATTGTGAAACCCTAAGTTAATCTGACAAGCGGTTTTGGAGAACGGGTGCGGACAAGTTCAAATTTAAAAGCGGCGGAAGAAGAAGAAGAAGAAGAAGAATAATAAGAACTGAGCAAAAACAATAAGTCTTCCCAAACTTCGTTTGGGAGACTTAATAAATGGAGAATGTGTCCATGGGACACAGATGATGACCCCGTTTGCATAGACATAACTAGAGAACTGTAAAAGTGATGCCACCCAAATTCCAAATTGATCTGTGTTTTATGGTAATAAGCATGGTGTATAAGTTTCATAACATTTGGTTGAGGCAAACTAAAGTTGGAGAATGGAAACTAATTTTGGGACATACATACGTACAGATGAACGGACAAGGGTAACACTTAATACCCCCTATGCCGCTGCGGTGCAAAAAAAAAAATGGTAAAAATTGTCATTTAAGAGTAATACCTAAAATAAGACAATTGACAATTTCAGTCATGTTGATTTATTTGGATATCTTATCTTACTTTTTCAGTTTCACGCTATGTATTATTGTTGACTAGATATATAAAAAAATGCAAAATTTGGGTAAAAGGTTATATTTTAAGTGCAATAACTTCTATTAGGATTCAATTTACAGTTTCCTTTATTTGCAGATCATATATAGCTGGATATTTTTCCTGTGTAGTTTCTCTGTATCAATTATAATTGGAAGATAAAGAAGGTAAACATATCGTTTAAGGTAAATGACTCCTATAAGGCATTGGTTGACTATTTTGATGATGTTGACTTATTTGTAGATCTTATCTTACTGATCATTATTGCTGTTCATAGTTTCTCTCTATCTATAAATTAATAATAGATTTCCAGAAAATAGCAAAAAATGTAAACAAGAGTGCACACGCTGAAATGTCAAGCCTGCTTTACTGACCATTGATTTTATGTTGAAAGTCTTTAAGATAAAGGTTTTACTAAAAGTATCACATAACCTAACATTATTAAAGACCAATGAAAATGAAAATAGTTTTTGCCGCCACCGAATAGCAATACCTACGTCTCGCATACTGCCACTTTTGTTGCAGGCGAGACAAAAATTGCAAAACTTTTTATTCAATTGCAGAATTAACTCTTTTTACAGTAAGCTATTTTATTACAATTTTCAAAGTAATTGCTTAAAATGGATTAAAGAGTCGAATGGCCTGGTTGCCAAGAATGTTTCATAAACAATAAAGCATGGACTATAATGAACATGTAAATTAGGCTTTTAGTTTTCTCAATCGAATTGTTTCATTTTTATCATTTCGAGGTCTTTCATAGCCGACTATATGGTATGGGTTTTCTCATTTTTGAAGGTTGTATGGTTGCCTATATTTGCTTACATGCAGTTCATTTGAACTTTGGTGTATAGTTGTCGCATTGGCAATCATACCACATCTCCTTATTTTTGTATGGAAATATATGAAAATATAAATTGGAAAAAAATTTAAAAAAATTCTGAGTAAAAATCCAAATTTGGTACCATGTTTTGAAAATTTTGTGAAAGTTACAAACCTTTGAAAAATGACATAAAGGTCCTCAAACAATTCCATAAAATCAATTGATCAATTTCAACATGTGTGCAATCTATGTGTGAGTTTCGATTGGAAACTTTAGGAGTTGAATACAAAAATCTAACAGTGTTTTGTAAATTTTCCCCCAAAATATTACTTAGTTCCGAAGTCCAGAAAAATGAGCTGCATGATATTTAGAAGGCATTTAATCAGAAGCATATAAAATGGCTCTGTAGAAAAACATGCATTATGATACTCTTAAACGTATAAATATTGTGTCAAGTACAAGTCTACATTCACCAATCCTAACAACAGTGTTAAGTTTGCAGTAATTTGATCCAAGCATACTAGACCTAGTGCATGATATTTAAACAAGAGTGCACAAGCTGAAATGTCTTGCCTGCTTTACTAATCATGATTAAATTTCATACCATACACAGAATATAGTTAGTCTATTGCTTATAGTATCTGAGAAACAAACCTAGTTACAAACTAGAGGCTGTGGCTCACCTTGGTCTATGTGCATATTAACACTCTCCAACATTGAAGACAAGAATAGAATTCATGACATAAATATCTGTTTTGTTGATCTTGTATTACTGATCATTTAGTCTGTTTAGTTTCTCTCTATCTTCTTTAGTTTTTGCTCAAAACACAATAGAGGGTAAAAAAAAATCCTCATTTAAGGGCAATCCCTCCAATAAGCAGTCGTTGGATGATTTCCTCCAAATTGCCTAAATTGTAGATCTAGTCTTGCTTATCGTTTTTGCTTATTTAAGTTTCTATCTATTATAATTTTTAAGATATAAGGCAAAAACGCAAAAAAATGGTAAAAATCGTCATCAAAGGGCAATAACTCTAATAAGGAGTCGACTGACGATTTCAACCATGTTAGACTTATTTGTAGAACTTGTCTTGCTGATCATTTCTGCAATTCAAAGTTTCTCTATCATAATTTTCAGGATAATAGGCAAAAATGAAAAATACTGGTAAAATTTGTCATTTAAGGGAAATAAATCCTATAAGAAGTGTCTAACAGTTATGACGTATACAAACAATAGGTAGAGCTCAACATTCTGAACATTTTTGGACCTGTCAGATTTTCTCTATTTATAACGGTTTTCAAAATAATAGACAAAACTTGCATTTTACATCTGTTCCTATTTTTAGCCATGTCAGCCATCTTGGTTGGCAGAAGGGGTCATCGGACACATTTTTTAAACTAGATACCCCAATGATGATTGTGGCCAAGTTTGGTTAAATTAGGCCCAGTAGTTTCAGAGGAGAAGATTTTTGTAAAAGTTAACAACGACGGATGACAAGTGATGAGAAAAGCTCACGTGGCCCAAATTGACCAATGAACCATAAAAATGAAGTCAAGGTCAGATGAAACCTGCTAAGTCTGACATGTTCACCTTACGATCATACCACACACCAAATATAGTCAACAAATTGCTTATAGTATCTGAAAAACAGACCAAACCACAAAAACTTAACATTGACAAATGAAACATGAAAATGAGGTCAAGGTCAAATGAAACCTGCCAGACCGCCATGTACACCTTACAGTCATTCCACACACCAAATATAGTTGACTATTGCTTATAGTATCTGAGATACCCAATTGAACATGAAAGCTTAATCTTGATCACTGATCCATGAAATGCAGTGGCGGTCAGGTGAACCCTGTATGAAGGACATTTAGACCTTCAAAGAGACAATATACCAAATATGGTTATCCTATTGTTCATAAGTGAGTATTTTACATGAATAAAAAATCTAATTTTTTTCAAGCAGTCACTGAACCATGAAAATGAGGTCAAGGACACTGGATGTATGACAGACAGAAACCATAAGGCATTTGTTTACAATGTATGAAACATCAAGGTCTTTTACCTTCTGAAATATAAAGCTTTATACAAATAGTTTATGCCATCACCACCAGATTGTAAACCCTGTGTTTTGCATTCAATGCCTTTTATTTATCTAATGGTCAAAGTCCCATAACTCTGGAATGACATATCAGATTTTTATTAATAAATCCAACAGTGTGTTATATTCACAATTTCAATAAAATGTTCCACAGGGCGCAGCTTGATACTACAGCAGAGGTTCTCCTGAACAGCTCTAAATTTGGATTATGATTTAATATTTGACACAGCATAGGTTTCTGACACAGAAAGAATGTAGTCTAAGAGCTTAAAAATTTGAAATTGGACATTTACCTTTTATGGTATAATATCCTAAATCTAAATACATGGTTAGATTCAGCATATCAAAGAACCCCAAGAATTCAGTTTTTGATGACATCAAACAAAGTTAAATTTTTTACACTTTGGACCTCAATGTGGACCAATTTGAGAATGGGGCCAAAAATCCAAAATCTAAATTCACGGTTAGATTCAACATTTCAAAGAACACCAAATATTCAATTTTTGTTAAAATCAAAAAAATTTCCCCCAAAAGGGAGCTTCCTTTTATCAATCCCAATAATAAGGTAATTCTTTTAGAAATCAATTCAGCCATACTGGAGTTAGTGTGGGATATGTGAAAAATTGTCTGAAATCTAAAGGTTAAAGTACTGCAACTCTGTAACGGCAAAGCAAAAATTTTCAAAATCCAAAGGGAGTTTTCCTCCATCAAACTTAATGTTGTGTTATAATCACATGAGAATTGGATAAAGCAAATTTGAGTTATCATTTGAAGTGCCGAAGGACAAACAGACATTGGTATATCATAACATGTCCTGTCTTTGAAGAGCGAAAAAAAAAAGTGAAAAATTGCCCAAACAATTCCGTAATAGTAGGTGCAGATTTCAACAAGTGTGCAATCATTCTGTGAAATTTCGGGTATCTGGGTTAAAAACTCAAGTAGGATTTGATAACACAAAATGTGTACTTATTTCCCTCTCCTGCCCAACCATCATCACCATACTATAGACTGGTTTTGGTCCTTTGTCCAACATAGCCAAACTCTATATAAGAGAATCTTGAGAGCCTGAATGACTCACTTGTCAAAATATATCTAATATTGATGATCATTTTAGCTGTTAACTGTTATAGTGTTTGAAACAAGAGTGCACACACTGAAATGACTTGCCTGTTTTACTTATCATTAAAATTGAGAATGGAAATGGGGAATGTATCAAAGAGACAACAACCCGACCATAGAGCAGACAACAGCCGAAGGCCACCAATGGGTCTTCAATGCAACGAGAAACTCCCGCACCCAGAGGCGTCCTTCAGCTGGCCCCATACAAATATGTATACTAGTTCAGTGATAATGGACGTCATACTAAACTCCAAATTATACACAAGAAACTAAAATTAAAAATGATACAAGACTAACAAAGGCCAGAGGCTCCTGACTTGGGACAGGCGCAAAAATGCGGCGGGGTTAAACAGGTTTTTTGAGATCTCAACCCTCCCCCTATACCTCTAGCCAATGTAGAAAAAACAAACGTACAACAGTACGCACAGTAAAACTCAGTTTAAGAGAAGTCCGAGTCCGATGTTAGAAAAGGAAACAAAAGAAAATAAACAAAATGACAATAATACATAAATAACAACAGACTAGTGAATTCATGTTGAAAGTCTGTAGTATGACGGTTTTACTACAAGTATCACATAAACTTAATATATTAATGTTCTATGAAAATGAGGTCAGATAAACCATGCCAGACAGACATATACACCTTACAATCATTTCATACACCAGATATAGTGGTCCTATCGCTAATAGTTTCTTGAGAATCAGATAAAACCACAAAATCTGACCATTGACCAATGAACCATGAAAATGAGGTCAAGGTCATAGGCCCCGAAGATTATATGAACCCTGGAGATAGACATGTACACCTTAAAATTGTGCCATACACCAAATATAATTGACTTTATTGATTGTTATCCTTATGTCTCCCATTCTGCGACTTTCATCGCAGATGAGACAAAAACAGTGTTTCTTTATATTTCAATTGCTATTTGAGGTCATCCCCTTTCAAGTGCCAACATTTGCTGAAGATCTAACAAGTATATGCAAAAGGCCACTGTAACATTACCTAGCCTCTCTACTCTGCATTACAGGTGGCAACTGTTTAGGATCTCCAACAAGAACAAATTTGTCAGCACAGAAAAGTGGGCCAAGGCATGCTGGTAATAAAACTTGGGATGCTTCATCTACAACACATACATCAAACCTTTTCTGTGTAAACACTGGATGGTTTGTACCCAAACAACTAGTTGCAACTATTCTCTACAAAAAATGAAGTAGAAAAAGACATGAAAGTATTAAGTCAGAAGGCAGTGTTAATTTGTTAATCAGACACATGTATCTTTTGTCATTCTATTTTATGACAACAAAAACATTTATGACTGCATCCCTAAGTATAATAGTAAAATTTAGGTGACAGATACCAAAAGAATAATCAAACTCAGCTGGGGTATGCATCTTGAACAATGGACACGCTCCTAAATTGTGTTTTTGTTAGGGTTTTTATGTACTTTGTATCTATCTGATGAGTTAAGCCCTTTTCAACTGATTTTTATAGTTTGTTCTTATGTTGTACCGTTACACCACTGTCCCAGGTTAGGGGGAGAATTTTGCACCAGCAAACATGGTTAACCAGGCTACATTCTGTGTGTGCCTGTACCAAGTCAGGAGCCTGTAATTCTGTGGTTGTCATTTGTTGCTGTATATCATATTTGTTTTTCGTTTATTGTTTTGTTCATAAATAAGGCCATTAGTTTTCTCATTTGAATTTTTTTACATTTGTCATTTCAGGGTCTTTTATAGCTTACTATGTGGTATGGGTTTTGCTCATTGTTGAAACCATACAGTGACCTATGTATTAGTTTTCTTGTTTGATTTTTTTACATTTGTCATTTCGGGGCCTTTTATAGCTTACTATGTGGTATGGGTTTTGCTCATTATTGAAGTCATACAGTGACCTATAGTTATTAACTTATATGTCACTAGGTCTCTGGTGGAAAGTTCCGTTGGCAATCATACCACATCTTCTTATTTTCATAGAATAGAATTCATGATAAAAATCTCTTTTTTGTTATCTTGTATTACTGATAATTTTTTCTGTTGACAGTTTCTCTCAATCTTCTTCAGTTTTATCCCCCCCCCCCCCCTCCAAAAAAAAAAAAAAGGGTAAACAAAATTGTCAATTAAGGGCAAACACTCCATTACAGACTCTACTAATTATTTTGGCAAAATTTAACTTATTTGTAGACCTTGTCTTACTGATCATTTTTCGAATAGGGGGTTGACAAATTTGTAGATCTTGTCTTCCTGATCATTATTGTTGTTTAAAATGTATCTTTCTATTCTAGTTTTCAAGATAATTGGTTAAAAACAATAAAAATTGGTATAAATCATCATCAACGAACAATAACTCCAATAAGCAGTCTACTTACGATTTTGGCCATTTGACTAATCCGTAGATCATGTCTTGCTGATAATTTTGGCTCTTTAAAGATTTTAACATATTAGGCATAAATGCCAAAAAATCGTTCAATTCATAATTTAAGGGCAATAACTCAAACTAGATATCATTGAGATGGGAGCCATCTCCGTGGGCCCCGCTGTGAATAATGTGTGGTAAAAAGTTTGCATTTTATCATTGGACATGGGGTTGTCAACTGAAACCGAAGTTTATGACCTTGACCTTTGACCTAGGAAGTTGTACATAAACTATGACACACCCTCTGGTGTTTGTTTATATACATGTCAAGTATAAACTTTGAAATCATAACGGTTCTCAAGATATCGAGCGGACACGATCTTTACCATAGGACGTGGGGTTGTCAACTAAAACCAAAGTTTTTGACCTTGACTTTTGACCTAGGAAGTTGTACATAAATTATGACACACCCTCTGGTGTTGGTTAATATACATGTCAAGTATAAACTTTGAAATCATAATGGTTCTCAAGATATAGAGCGGACACGATCTTTACCATAGGACATGGGGTGGTCAACTAAAACCAAAGTTTTTGACCTTGACCTTTGACCTAGGAAGTTGTACATACATTATGACACACCCTCTGGTGTTGGTTAATATACATGTCAAATATAAACTTTGAAATCATAACGGTTCTCTAGATATAGAGCGACACATTTTGTTACGGACGGATGGACGGACGGACGGACAGACTGATCACTATAGGGCGTCCGTATTTCGGCGGGGCCCTAATAAGGAGTCATCTGACGACTTTTTACATGTTTAAATACTTGTAGATATATTTCTTGTTGATCATTATTGCAATAAAAAATTTCTCTATACCTATTATATTTTCCAAGATAATAGACAAAAAATGAAAACAAGAGTGCACATGCTGAAATGTCTCCCCTGCTTTACTGACCATTGATTTTATGTTGAAAGTCTTTTAAAAGATAAAGGTTTTACTAAAATCATTACAGAAACTTAACATTTTTAAAGATCTATGACAATGAGGTCAAGATTAGATTAATCATGTCAGACAGACATATACACCTTATAATTTTTTTATACACCAAATGTAGTTGACCTATTGTGTATGCTAATTGAAAAAAAGACCAAAACACAAAAACTTAACATCGACCAATGAATCATGAAAATGAGGTCAAGGTCAGATGATACCTGCCAGACAGACATGTGTACCGTACAATCATTCCATACTCCAAATAAAGCTGACCTATTGCTATAAGTATTTGAAAAACAGACCATAGCACAAAAACTTATCATTGACCAATGAACCATAAAAATGAGGTCAAGGTCAGATGATACCTGCAAGACAGACATGTACACCTTACAATCATTCCATACACCAAATACAGTTCACCTATTTCTTATAGTACTTGAAAAACAGACAAAAACACAAAAACATAACATTGACCAATGAACCATGAAAATGAGGTCAAGGTCAGACGATACCTGCCAGACAGACTTGTACACCTTACAATCATTCCTTACACCAAATATAGTTGACCTATTGCTTATAGTACTTGAAAAACAGACAAAAACACAAAAACTTAACATTGACCAATGAACCATGAAAATGAGGTCAAGGTCAGATGAAACCTGCCAGACTGACATGTACCCATTACAATCATTCCATACACCAAATATAGTTGACCTACTGCTTATAGTATTTGAGAAACAGACTTAATCACGTAACTTTAACCTTGATCACTGATCCATGAAATGAGATCGAGGTCAGGTGAACTCTGTCTGACGGACATGCAGTTGCTGAACCATGAAAATAAGGTCAAGGACAATGGACATTTGGTTGACAGAAACTTCGTAACATAACGTTTCTGCAAACAAGATTTGATGGAACTTCTACCTTCTGAAATATAAAGCTTTATACAAATAGTTTTACACGCCGCCGCCAGATAGTAATACCTATGTCTCGCATACTAAAATTGTAAAATTTGTCATTAAGGACAATAACTCCTATATTCTATTTTAAACCATGTCTACCATTTTGGTTGGCAGGCAGGGTCATCAAACACATTCTTTAAACTAAATACCCCAATGATGATTGTGGCCAAGTTTGGTTAAATTTGGCCCAGAAGTTTCAGAGAAGATTTTTTTTAAAGTTAGCGACAACAGATGCCAAGTGATGAGAAAAGCACATTTGGCCCTTAGGGCCTGGGGAGCTAAAAAACACAGTTATAATTGAAGAGATTTCATCCACCCTAAAAAATGGTCTGGGTTTCCTATGATCATGTGCAACTGCCACTGGTCTGGGAGGCATTTGCCCAAATAATATTGCTGGAAATTTTCCTACAAGTTGCAATATAAAAGATTTTATTTAGAAAACCAATACCTGATGAAACTGATGAACCTAGAGCTGTCTGCATAGCGGGACTAATACCCCCCATTTTATAATTTTGTCTACATCCAATTTGATATTAGTTGGATATTCCCCTTCCATTTTGGATGATATCAATGTTAAAGGTCAATCAACTTATTGGTGGTCAAGGGTTTAAAAATTCGCAAACATAAGCTATATATGACATAAACCGGATATAGAGTCGGTTCTGAACCGGTCCGGTGATTTCACCAAGTCGTTCATGTTAAAAATCGCAATTTTCATGATTTAAAATTTTTTAAAAACATTTTCTTCATTGTTTCCTTGCAGAAAAGGGAATTGAAGGTCCTTTGTGCTCTTATTAAACTCCTTTGTGGTCCTTTGTGCCAAAAAGGAGTCCTTTGCAGTGTTTTTAAGAGACCCTTTTGGAATTAATTAAATATTTTCTATTATTAAGACAAAGAAGGAATATTCTTTGCTGTACATTCAAAATCAAAGAGTAAATATTGTATCAGACAAAATAAATAACAACTCATTCATTGTTAAAAATAAAATAAAAGATATGCTCTTTTTATCAGCAATCAAATGTATAATAATTATAATAATAATTTTCTACTAAGAAAAAAATTTGTGACTAACACAAATAATATCAAATAAAATTATTTATTTTTAAGATTTAAAGCATACACAATTTTCTTTAATAATCTGTTCGTAAAAACCCACATTTGAGCACTTTTTAGGGTAAAGTTCGTTTTTTATTGTTTCATGATAAGAAAATAGTAACAAAAGGGAGAGAAAGTTTTAATCGCAACTGCTGTTTTCTCTTTTAAAAACAACTTTAGTTTCTGTATAATTGTTCATTTTTTCATTTTAGAATTAATTAAATATTTTTACATTATTGTTATAAAATACAAGAAAATTTCCAATCATTGTTTTCAAACTGTTTTGAATTGGTATAATGTAGGGCCATATATCATTGTCAATAATTGCGAGTACATATAGGTAATGTGATACATCTCCATTTCCGTATCATATCGGTAATTATAAAATGACCTAACAATGTAATCGATACAAGTTTCAAGTGTCAAATCCTGTCAATATATTATGTCCCAGATGTAACAGTAAAGCTAATTTGAACTAAACTAGAGGCTCTAAAGAGCCTGTGTTGCTCACCTTAGTCTATGTGCATATTCAACAAAAATTTATAAAGGGGCATAACTCATGAACGATAAAAGTGACGCCACCCAATTGATCTGTGTTTTGTGGTAATAAGCATTGTGTATAAGTTTTATAACATTTGGTTGAGACAAACTAAAGTTAGAGAAAAGAAACCAATTTTGGGGATGTGCAAAGGTAAGTTACTCTAACACTAGCGGCGGTAACATTGACAAGAATAGAATACATGACAAAAATTTCTTTTTTGTTGACCTTGTATTGCTGATCATTTTGTCTGTTTAGTTTCTCTCTTATCTTCTCCAGTTTTTGCTCAAAACACAAAAGAGGGTAAAAAAATCCTCATTTAAGGGCAATCACTCCTTTAAAGAGTGACAGTCTACTAACTATATTGGCAAAATTTGACTTGTTAGTAGATCTTGCCTTGCTGATCATTTTTGTGATTTAAAGTTTCTATTTATCTATTATAATTTTTAACAATAAAAGGCAAAAAGTAAAAAAAAGGTAAAAATTGTCATTAAAGGGCAATAACTCCAATAAGGAGTCTTCAGACGATTTCCTTCATATTCTTTTAATTGTAGATCTTGTCTTGTTTATCATTTTTGCTAATTTAAGTTACATCTATCTACCATAATTTTTAAGATATAAGGCAACAATGCAAATAAAATGCTTCGCTGAGCGCAGCCTGATACGACCGCTGAGGTCGAACCCTGAACAGTTGGTGCAAGTTTGGACACAATATTCAAGCTTGATACTGTCTGAATTTGGATTGTGATCAAATTTTTGACATAATATAGGTTTCTGACACAAAATAAATGTGGTGAAAAATCTTAAAAATTTGAAATGGGTTGAAATATTTGTATTAATTTTCAATTGAAGATTTCTTGCAATTGCACAATACTGTGCAATTGGATATTTCTTGCTTTTGCGCAATACTATGCAATTGAAGATTTCTGGCTATTGGGCACTATTGTGCTATTGCGGAATACTGTGCAATTGGATATTTCTTGCTATTCTGCAATACTGTGCAATTGAAAATTTCTTGCTATTGCGCAATACTGTGCAATTGAAGATTTCTTGCTATTGTGCAATAGTGTGCTGTTGCACAATACTTCATATAATAATTTACAAGTCATGTTTGGTGTGTATCTCCTGCCATATCAGTATTTTTTGCATTTAAATATAAATCAGAAATAATAAATGCAAAAATGGAAAATTTTAAGAAAGAAAAACAAAAAAATTATGAAAAAAAAAATCCCCCCCCCCCTTAATATTTTTTTACCCCCTTTTAGTAATTACCCCCAAACTCAATTCCAGCTTTTCCTTTGTGGTATGGTACCTTGCAGTACAATTTCAGAAAGATCCATACACTTAAACACAAGTTATTGTCTGGAAACTAGAAAAATTCTTGTTTTTTACCCCCTTGTGGCCCCCAATTCCTGAACGTTTGGGGCAATTACCCCCAAACTCAATCCCAGCCTTCCATTTGTGGTATGGTACCTTGCATTACAATTTCAGAGAGATGCATACACATAAACACAAGTTATTGTCTGAAAACTAGAAGCTCTCAAGAGCCTGTATTGCTCACCTGTATTTACTGTTGTTTTTGAAATCATGTAAAATAAGGTTATCTTTCCCTCAAGAACTGCATGGTCATAATCTCAATTCAAATTTCCAATGGACTTTGCAACCATAAAAGCCCATTTAAATACATCATAAAAGTATTAAAATAGAAAATGACATCATAGTCATGGCTGGCAAATTTCCAATATACATAATTTAAAAGCAGTTTAGGTGAGATAAACAAAAAAGCTTCATCAGCAACATTTTATATTGGCAAATTTCCAATGAAGTTCATTAAACTAAAGTTATTGGCAAATTTCCAATGGAATTTATTAATAATAAAGTTTTTGGCAAATTTCCAATATTCATAATTTAAAAGCAGTTTAGGTGAGATATTCAAATGAGTTTCAATTACCAACCTTACACTGCCTTTTAAATTATGTTTTGTACTTAAGTAATTGTCCATTAACCTGGAAACCCTTTTCCTCCCTTTTTTGCGCCTTATTCCTTAACGGTTTGAGCCATAACTCCCAAAGACAATTCTTACCATCCCTTTGTGGTATAATTTCAGAGATCCATACACCATTCCACAAGTTATTGTCTGAAAACTAGAAAAATTCTTATTTGGGCCCTTTTTTGACCCCTAATTCCTAAACTGTTAGGACCATAACTCTCAGTGTATCAAAGAACCCCCATAATTCAATTTTTAATGAAATCAAACAAAGTTTCATTTTGGACCTTAAGGACCTCAATGTGGATAAATTATAAAACAAGGCCCAAAATCCAAAAATCTAAATACACAGTTAGATTCAGGATATCAAAGAACCCCATATATTCAATTTTTGTTGAAATCAAACAAAGAGTGATTTTGGACCTTGATTTGTACCAACTAAATACTGGGCCCATAATCAAAAATCTAAATACATGTTTAGATTCAGCATATCAAAGAACCCCAAGAGTTCAATTTTTATTAGAATCAAAATAAGTTTAATTTTGGACCCTATTAAAATAGAAAATGACATAATAATCATGGCTAAAAATAAACAAAAAAGCTTCACCAGCATCATTTTATATTGGCAAATTTCCAATGAAGTTTATTAAACTAAAGTTATTGGCAAATTTCCAATGGAATTTATTAATAATAAAGTTTTTGGCAAATTTCCAATATACATAATTTAAAAGCAGTTTAGGTGAGATAAACAAAAAAGCTTCATCAGCAACATTTTATATTGGCAAATTTCCAATGAAGTTCATTAAACTAAAGTTATTGGCAAATTTCCAGTGGAATTTATTTATAATAAAGTTTTTGGCAAATTTCCAATATACATAATTTAAAAGCAGTTTAGGTGAGATAAACAAAAAAGCTTCATCAGCAACATTTTATATTGGCAAATTTCCAATGAAGTTCATTCAACTAAAGTTATTGGCAAATTTCCAATGGAATTTATTAATAATAAAGTTTTTGGCAAATTTCCAATATACATAATTTAAAAGCAGTTTAGGTGAGATATTCAAATGAGTTTCAATTACCAACCTTACACTGCCTTTTAAATTATGTTTTGTACTTAAGTAATTGTCCATTAACTTGGAAACCCTTTTCCCCCTTTTTTGCACCTTACTCCTTAACGGTTTGAGCCATAACTCCCAAAGACAATTCTTACCAACCCTTTGTGGTATTCCAATATCCAAAATCTAAATACATGGTTAGATTCAGCATATCAAAGAACCCCAAGAATTCAATTTTTGATGAAATCAAATAAAGTTCAATTTTGGACCCTTTTGACCTCAATGTGGACCAATTTGATAACCGGGCCCAAATATCAAAAATCTAAATACATGGTTAGATTCAGCATATCGAAGAACCCCATATATTCAATTTTTGTTGAAATCAAACAAAGTTTAATTTTGGACCCCGATTTGGACCAACTTGAAAACTGGGCCCATAATAAAAAAACTAAGTACATGTTTAGATTCAGCATATCAAAGAACCCCAAGAATTCAATTTTTGTTAAAATCAAACTAATTTTAATTTTGGACCCTTTGGACCTTAATGTAGACCAATTTGAAAAATGGGACCAAAAATTAAGAATCGAAATACACGGTTAAATTCGGCATATCAAAGAACCCCAATAGTTCAATTTTTGATGAAATCAAACAAAGTTTAATTTTGGACCCTTTTGGACCCTAATTCCTAAACTGTTGGGACCAAAACTCCCAAAATCAATCCCAACCTTCCTTTTGTGGTCATAAACCTTGTGTTTAAATTTCATAGATTTCTATTTACTTATACTAAAGTTATTGTGCAAAAACCAAGAAAAATGCTTATTTGGGCCCTTTTTTACCCCTAATTCCTAAACTGTTGGGACCAAAACTCCCAAAATCAATCCCAACCTTCCTTTTGTGGTCATAAACCTTGTGTTAAAATTTCATAGATTTCTATTTACTTATACTAGAGTTATTGTGCGAAAACCAAGAAAAATGCTTCTTGGGCCCTTTTTTGGCCCCTAATTCTTAAACTGTTAGGACCAAAACTCCAAAAATCAATCCCAACCTTCCTTTTGTGGTCATAAACCTTGTGTTTTAATTTCATAGATTTCTATTAACTTATACTAAAGTTATAGTGCGAAAACCAAATGTCTTCGGACGACGACGACAACGACGCCAACGTCATACCAATATACGACCGCAAAAATTTTGCGGTCATATAAAAATTGGTAAAAATCGTCATCAAAGGGCTAATAAGGAGTTGACTGACAATTTTGACCATGAGACTTATTTGCAGAACTTGTCTTGCTGATCATTTTTGCAATTTAAAGTTTCTATCTATTATAGTTTTCAAAAATGAAAAAAAAAAATGGAAAAATTTGTCATTTAAGGGCAATAACTCCTATAAGAAGTCATCTGACAGTTTTGATGTTTTTGAACAATAGGTAGAGCTCATCAGTCTGAACAAATTTTCTCTATTTATTACTGTTTTCAAAATAATAGACAAAACTTGCATTTTACACCTATGTTCTATTTTTAGCCATGTCGACTGTTTTGGTTGGCAGGTGGGGTCATCAGACACATTTTTTAAAAGTAGATACCCCAATGATGATTGTGGCCAAGTTTGGTTAAATTTGGCAAAGTAGTTTCTTCAGAGAAGATGTTTGTAAAAGTTAACGACGGACGCCAAGTGATGAGAAAAGCTCACTTGGCCCTGTGGGCCACGTGAGCTAAAAAAGGAGAACAATTGTTAATAATGTACAAAATACCTGTTGACTATAGAATTGTCTCAGATCACCAACAGTTTGAAGTTTCCGTGTCAGTAGATCAGCTGAAAATCTCTGTATCTGTGGGTGAATTTTACTGGTCTTTCCAAGTCGTATGAACTCTATATTATGCTGAAGATGTCAAAAATACAGGAAATTATTTATGTTATTGATACAGCCCCTATACGGGCAGGTTACCACATGATATTTTATATTTCAACAATAAAACTTCACTTGTAGATCTGCAAGTAAAACTAAAGACTACATTGCAGTATAAAATAATCATTAATAAATACCAACCATATTTCCCTTTTAACAAAACGTAGGCATTTCGATGTTAATGTTAATGTTTATCAAATATCAGGTATAATGATCAGGCAATTATATATGTCTTTGAGACAGTTCCTATATGCGCTGTGTGTACAGTACAAGCTTAATCATTTAATACCATAGATCTAAACATTTACCACATGACATTGTGTATTGCCATCATAGCCTTAGATTGGAAAGCAAAAATAAAATATAACAAAAATACTGAACTCCAAGGAAAATTCAAAAACGGAAAGTCTCTTATCAAATGGCAAAATCAAAAGCTCAAACACATCAAACGAATGGAAAACAACTGTCATATTCCTGGCTTTGTACAGGCATTTCCTAATGTAGAAAATGGCGGATTAAACCTGGTTTTATAGCTAGCTTAACTTCTCAATTGAGTGACAGTCGCATAGAATTCCATTAAATTGACAACAATGTGTGAGCAAAACAAACAGACATAATACGTAACTGGAGAACCTGTGTCGCTCACCTAGGTCTATGTGCATACTCAACAATGGGCTTTCTCCAACATTGACAAGAATAGAATACATGACAAAAATTTCTTTTTTGTTGACCTTGTATTGCTGATCATTTTGTCTGTTTAGTTTCTCTCTTATCTTCTCCAGTTTTTGCTCAAAACACAAAAGAGGGTAAAAAAAAATCCTCATTTAAGGGCAATTACTCCTATGAAGGGTGACAGTCTACTAACTATATCATCAAATTTTGACTTGTTTGTAGATCTTGCCTTGCTGATCATTTTTGTTATTTAAAGTTTCTATTTATCTATTATAATTTTTATCATATAAGGCAAAACGCAAAAAAATTTGTTTAAAATTGTCATTAAAGGGCATTATAACTCCTATAAGGAGTCATCGGAAAATTTCCTTTATTTATATTAAATGTAGATCTTGTCTTGCTGATCATTTTTGCTGATTTAAGTTTCTATCTATTATAATTTTTAAGATATAATGCAAAAACGCTAAAAATTGGTAAAAATTGTCTTCAAAGGGCAAAAACTCTTATAAGGAGTAGACTGACGATTTAGACCATGCATACTTATTCGTAGATCTTGTCTTGCTGATAATTTTTACAGCTTAAAGTTTCCCTCTGTCTATTATAGATTTCACAATAAAAGGCAAAAATGAAAAAAAATGGTAAAATTTGTCATTTAAGGGCAATAACTCCTATGAGAAGTCGCCTGATGTTAATGAACATTTGGTATATCTATATATAACGGTTTTCAAAATAATAGACAAAACTTGCATTTTACCCTATGTTCTATTTTTAGCCATGTCAAGCCATCTTGGTTGGCAGGCGGGGTCATCAGACACGTTTTTTAAACTAGAAACCCCAATGATGATTGTTGCCAAGTTTGGTAAAATTTGGTCCAGTAGTTTCAGAGGAGAAGATTTTTGCAAAAGTTGACGGAAGACGACGATTGACGACGGACGCCAAGTGATGAGAAAAGCTCACTTGACCCTTTGGGCCAGGTGAGCTAAAAAAGTCAAAAATTGGGGTACAGCAGTCAACATTGTGTTATAATCTAAATCATTATGAAAAACAAACAACTTTGTCAACAAAGAAAAACAAAATGGCATATACCAATTTCACCTGTGTATGGAATATACATTTCTCAACTCATACGATATTCAAGAGCTTGCAGCTCCTACTCAGACTTTGTAAAAAGTCACCAGTATCTGAGGAAAAAATTAATGAGCCTGGGTTTTGTCAAAGAAAACTAGCCCTTTTTCTCAAAAAGTTCACCAGAACATACCAAGACCAAACAGATACATATTCAGTATCTACTTCACAAATAATAAAAGATGATCTTGATTTATAAATTCTAGGTGCTGAAGTTGTGTACCGGTATCTTTTTATTTACAGTTTTCCCTTTATTTGTCTTCATGCTATTATGACCTTTGACGTGACTCTGTATTTATGCATCCCACTATAGGATTTTGAACTTGGGGCGTTCCTGATTTGAGATTCAATTGCAAGAGGATTTTACAGTGTTGTTTTCATTTTGTTTACACATCTATGTAATATCAACTACAAAAACTTCTCTTATCTGCGTCTTTGTCAATTTACTTAATATAATCAACTACAAATTCTTTTTTGTTGGCGTTTGTCAAATTTACCAACTACTACAACTTTTTTGATTAAATACTGTGGATTCATTTATTTTCGTGGGTATCAATTTTCGTGGATTGAGGAAAACTTGCCTGTACCAAGTCAGGAATATAATATTTATTTTCCACTTGTTCCATTGGTTGATAACAATTGATATTTTCTGTTGTTATGGACTTCCCCTATTGAATTTACCTTGGAGTTCAGTACTTTTCTTATACAAATGTACTATTTTACTGGAACTTTGAAGATCATCTTGAAATTGTGTTCTTTATGCATGTGGATGATATTCTTTGGACTGGTAGTGAATTTTTAAATAAACTGTTGACACAGAGATATGTCTTGCCTGTCGACGTAAAATTCAGAAAAAGACAATCTGATGGACAGCAAGATTGCTAATTAATTCATAGTTGCTGGACCAACTAGTGGGTAGGGCCTCGAAATAGTCGTCAAACTGATATGTACTGATAGTAATGCAACTTTATAGAAAATATCATTGATCTATTGCAGTAGTAAACTAACTTAAGCCGAAAACTTAACATTGAAAATTGCTTATAAATTCAAAGTCTCTGGACCATGACCTAGGGGGGAGGGCCTCAAAATAGTCGTCAAATTGATATGTCCTGATAGCAATGCATTAATTTACTCTACACAAAATATCATTGATCTATCACCAGTAGTTCCTATCAATCTAACTTAAGCAGAAAACTTAACATTTAAAATTGCTAATCAATTCAAGGCTACTGGACCATCCTCCGGTGGCGAGCCTCAAAATTGTCGTCAAACTGATATGTACTGATAGTAATGCAACTTCATACAAAATATCATTAATCTATCACAAGTAGTTCCTATCAAACTAACTTAAGATTGAAAATGGCTAATTAATTCAAAGTCACTTGACCATGGCCTAGGGGACAGAGCCTCAAAATTGTTGTCATATTGATATGTACTGATAGTAATGCAACTTCATACAAAATATCAATGATCTTTCACAAGTAGTTCCCATCAAATCATATGGAAAGCCTCAGCTGTCATATATTAGAGATTTACAAAACGTTATGCTGAAGCTTAAAATGTAAAGTTAAGACAGCGTGATGTTGAATCGAGTCATCAAAATGCTAACTCTAAATTACAATATGCTAAGTTGAATCTGCGCAATGTTGACTTGCAATGACAAGTGCTTTAGTCGTGATAGTATAATGATAAGTCACGATGTTGTGATGATATGCCAAACACACGTAACGTTGGGTTTAAAGTACATGATGTGAAGTTGACGTTGCATGATGTTAGCTTGCAGATGGATACTGCTCAGTCATCTACATCGACAGCTATGATAATAAATAAAATGAATAGCTAAAATGTATGGTGCTGACTTGTTATTAATTAATGTTGAGCTGAGATAGTACGATGTTATATCATTGTGATATTACAATTGGTCTATCATGCAATTTGTTGATTTAAAACACCATGATGCACAGTTGAAAGTACATGATGTACAGTTAAGGTAACACGATGCTACACCACTATATTGAAACGAAAGGCTTACCATACAATTTGTTGACTTAAAACAACACGATACAACGTGTTCAGCTAAGATGCTCACTTGAAACTACAGGACGTACAGTTGAAATTTTGTAATGTTAAGCTACGATAGCACGATGTTATATCACTATAATGTCACAGTAGGCTTATTATACAGTTTGCTCGTTTAAAACTACACACCGTACAGTTGAAAGTACGTGATATTAAGCTAAGATGGCACGTTGTTATATCATTAGAATGTCACGATAGGCTTACCAAGCCATATGCTCGTTTAAAACTACACGACGTACAGTTGAAAGTACGTGATGTTGAGCTATGATAGCAATATCTTATATGATAATAATATCACGATAGGCTTGCCATACAATATGCTCATTTAAAACTACACGACGTACAGTTGAAAGTACGTGTTGTTCAGCTAAGACAGCACGATGTTATATCATTATAATGTCACGATAGACTTATTACACAATTTTCTCATTTAAAATCACACCACGTACAGCTGAAAGTACGTGATGTTAAGCTAAGATAGCACGTTGTTATATCATTAGAATGTGACGATAGGCTTACCACACGATATGCTCATTTAAAACTACATAATTTTCAGTTGAAACTAGATGATGTTAAGCTAAGATAGCATGTTGTTATATCATTTGAATGTCAAGATAGGCTTACCATACAATATGCTCATTTAAAACTACACAACGTACAGTTGAAAGTATGTGATGTTGAGCTATGATAGCACGATGTTATATCATAATAATATCACAATAGGCTTGCCATACAATATGCTCAGTCAAAACTACACAACGTACAGTTGAAAGTACGTGTTGTTGAGCTCAGATAGCACGATGTTATATCACTATGACGTCACGAGAGGCTTATCATACAATGTGTTGACTTGAAACAGTAAAATGTTAAGTTAAAAAAACAGAACGTAAAGTCAAAATAAAACAATGATAGGATGACGTGTACTTGTGCAAAATTGAAGATTTTTGGTGTTGACTTCGAATATAGTACAAATATTAAATCGTTTTATGTTAAATTGAAAGACAATAACGATGCGTAAAACATTACAGAATTATGTGAATTGAAACTGCAATTCTATGGAAAAGAATGAGGGACAAATCCCCAGGATTTTTTCTTCT